TTTGGGTTGTGGAGGAAACTTACGCGAATGCAGGGAGAACATGCAAACACACAGAAACGCTAACTGACCCAGCCGAGACTGGTATTATATATATGTATTTATATTTAAGCTAATCAGTATATTAACATTTGAATATAAAATATTTTTACATCAATTAATACATAATATAGAGTGGCACCAAAAATATTTTTTGATAGTTATTTAATTCCCACTTTTTCACACTATTTTTGTGGCTTTCAATCAACTGGTGTTGCAATGATTTTTAGTGGATTTAATTCAATTCTTCAAGTCCACACAGGTGTTTCTCATCGCATTATGTATAAATATGATCCACTAACAATAAGCAACAGCAAAAAAATCCAAATACTCTTAATCTTGTACATTACATAAATAGCTTTTCCATTCCACTTAACATCAAAGCCTTTTTTATTATCAATTTACCCCTTTGATAAAGGGCTGGCACGGTGAATCAATGGTTAGCACTGTCATCTCACAGCAAGAAGGTCGCTGGTTCGAGTCCCGGCTGGGCCAGTTGACATTTCTTTGTGGAGTTTGCATGTTTTCCCTGGTTCTGGATTTCCCCACTATCCAAAGACGTGTGCTATAGATAGATTGAATTAACTAAATTTGCTGCAACATATGTATGTGGATGGTGTATGGGTGTTTCCCAGTACTGAGTTGCTGCTGGTAGGGCATCCGCTATGTAAAAAAATATCAGATTAGTTGGCAGTTCATTTCGCCGTGGCAACCCCTGATAAATAAGGGACTAAGTCGAAGGAAAATGAATGAATGACTTTTGAAAAAGTGTGCTGTGCCATCTTTCTTTAAAACAAATAACATTTGGTGATTTTTTGTTTCATAATTCAGTGATTTTACAATGATTAATTGCTGCTTAAGTGTCCCAAAACTGTTTGGGGGCCACCGTATTGTATATACTGTACATTAACTGCCTGCCAAATATCCCATTTCTGTTTGGAATTTATCAGTTTAAACAAAAAGGATGTGTCTCTGAAAAAAAAAAAACGATCTACAAGAAACCCAATCAGTCTGTAGGCTCAGTCTTTTAACAGTTCAGAAGCCACGAGCAGACAGGAATATTGTGAAAATGCTTTTATGCCACTGCAGAAAGACGTCAGACAGACAGATGCAAAGACGTCTCTCTCTCTCCCTCTTTTGTGAGAGAAAGTTTATGGTTTTGACATTGACATAAGTGATAGTCTGCTAAACCCATCCATCAAAAAACCCATCCCTGTATTGCTGCCTTCAGTACAGCAAGGCGTTTCCTTATGTGGGTGGTCCTGCCCAGGGAGAGAGAGAAAGAGCGAGAGAAAGACACAAGCCTGCTCTCATGTTTCTAAGCACAGAGAGAGAGAGAGAGTACAGAGAAAGAGCTTGCTGTGGGACGTACATCTGTCTTCCAGATGTGGCTTTCTGCAGTTGTTTGAAAAATGAAAAAAGAAGGTTTCAAAAATAAAGGAAAATTGGTGCTAAACAGATTTTTATTGTCAGGGATTACGGATGTAGTGCTCTATAGATTACCTTATAGTGGGTTGTGTGTATGAGTCAGCCAGCACTGTATATTTTAACCTCAAATCCATCTTCTTAAAGAAACGACACAGGAATGATGTAGTGAGGTCCCCTGCGTACTTGGACTTGTGGATAACGTGTTTAAAAAGGACCACCTGTCCAAATATTATTCTGTCCTATTGGACATGCGTCTGGAAGAGGAGAGGGATGAGAAAATGAGCAAGAAATGTGTAAAATAAAGCAATGGAAAGAATGAAAAGGAGGGAACTACTATGAATTAATATGAGGGAGAGAAAAACACACACACTAGAAATCTGAAGGGAAAATAATACAGCCTAAAAGTTTGTTCCCTCACATTAAAAAAATAGAAAAACACCACAAACCTTGAGAACAGTTCTTTCGTGGCTATACCCAGATAGCAGGCAGTAATCGGCCCGAGCTCGGCTGCCCCCCGGCGCCTCCGGCTCCGACTCGGCATCGGCGAGTGTTATCCGGGCCGAGTGCGGCCCGCAGCTCGCTCGCGCACATGCGGTTGTGATGCGGCTGTAAAGCACTGGCCCGATTCCGGTCAACCATATCCTGGCTGCTTCTGGCAAGGACTCGGCTGATGGCAACCGATTAAGTTCTTATTTTATCTCGTAGTCTGTTAGCTCCACGTATAATGATAACTTGAGAAAATATTCATGGTACGATAGCAAAAAAAAAAAAAAAAAGAATATTTAGTGTGGATGGTCGCAATGTTTAGACGCAAACAAAACAATATTATTTATAAATAGATTATACATGTCATCTAGAGAAAAACTATGTAAAATTCGCTTATTTTTGAGATAGCACGCTCCTGTGCTGACTTTTTTTTTAAAGCAGAAGTTGGTTTCATAATAAACACATGTGTGACTAAACTCATGATCCAAACTCCAATCCAGACGGTGGCGGTAATGCTCCAAAAAGCTGGTTGTCACCCACCATGGCACGAAGATCACAAGAAGAAAAAGTTTGGTTTTTCAAAGAGAATCACGTGGATTCCGGTCAGAAAGGTAAGCTTTTTACTGCTTGTGTTCTGTATAATTAGCGAATTTAGAGCTTAAAGCATTTCCACGGTGTTTGGTTGTAACAGCGTTTAGTAATTTAAAACAGTTTGATACGAAATGTAACTTGCTTTAAGAAACACGACTGGAGCTAATGTATGCTAACGCTAACAGTTAAAACACGTCTGAAAGTTCCTGTTCCTTTTACACAATGTTAGATTGTAACGTGTGTAGTAACTAAAAACTATTTTAATTATGTTAAAGAAACATGAAACGAATTTGTGTGTATGCTAACTTTGCGTAAAGAAAGTTTCTGTAGACGAATCCATTAACTAACTTGGCAAAACGTGTTTTATTCCTGATTTAACATTATATATATTACTATGCACTTTAATTCATATGTGTTAGCCTATGTGAATCAATTATATCTTTTGTTCAAGCTGTAATGGTCAGTTAATGTAAAACTGAACGTCTTAAAGCAGATTTTGATGTTTTTTTATGTTATTGACAGTGATAAATTCTGATTTAAATGAATGGGTAACAATATTTGTTCATTAAGTCTTATTGTTCTTGTTTAACAAAGGTTAGTGAGATCATTTTGCAGCACATCACGACCAAAGAAGTCAATGGCACACTCTTTTGAACGTGAATAGGCATGTTATAGTTGTGTGCTAAAAGTCCATTATAAGCTGTAAACTGCTGATACATTTTCAACATAGATTGAGCTTTTCAGACATTACATTACTAATTGCTTCACAAACAGCTGAAATGGTTTATTGTTATTGGCTATCATCATCAAACATTTTTCACAATGGTAGGTTAATCTTCATGGGTACAGAATAATGCATGTGCTTGACCATCTTACAAATCTATGTCTCAGATTCATAAGGCTGTCACTCTGCATGAATCTCCGAATAAATCTTGTGCAACCTTCTGTGTACTGATTATTTACACTATAGGTATTATATGCATTAATTAACTTTGATAGTATTTCAGGATTTGAACTTTTCTTTACGGGAGGTTAACAACAATGTGATGTTTTATTATAGATGCATATGAGGAAGCTCGACTCAAACATCCACACGCAACTGTGATTTCTGACTGGTAGACAGATGAGGATG